TGATTCTTTTGTTAGTGGTTACTCTTGGTTTCCTGTCAAACCTTTCTGTCAGAACATTGGAAAGACCATCTACTCCTCCCCTTGAGTATGCCAATTGCAGGTGGCCAAGGCTCAGACCAGAAGCAGAAATTTTTTCAGCCATTGTGTTGGATATTTTCTTCTAATAAATGAGTGGCTGCAAAGATTTTAGAGCCTTACTCTTCTCAGTTAAGAACACTGCATATTGTTTCAACCATGAATTTGAGAAGCTGTGTTTCAGAAGAACAGCATCACTTAGATAGCTAGTGCTCAACTTTTGAAGCATCAGCACATCATCAAGGGCACTGTGTGCGTTGTAAGTTGCACCAAGAAGATCTATGGCCAAATTCTGCTGGGTGAAGGACTTTCTGTTAGGATACAGCTCTTTGAAGGCAGGCAGTGTGTCAGAAAATCCAAGAACGATTTCGTAGAATTCATCAAACTTGCTGCATGATGTTAGAGCCTTGTACAAATGCTAGGCATCAAAGCTCTTAGCATTGTGTGCCAACAACAAACATGGTTTTTTTGGCTCGATCCAGTTCAAGAACTTTGACAACCCGTTGTCCAAACTTGTTGCTTCAACTGGTCTGCCATCATAAAATAGAACTCCATCCTTGACAGAGAGCTTGTTCACAGCTGAAGCACCAGCTGTTATACCACACTTTGGTAGAATGTATACACGGAACTGGTCATTTCCTTCCACTGCAGCAATCTCACATATTTCTGCATTATCACCTGAATCAGAATGAAAATATTGTAATGCTGGCAACTTATATTAATGAATTTGAATTTTTGCATTTCCAGAGAAAACTAGCAAGTTACCCACACATTCATTTTAGTCGTGTTAGCTAGGACAACAGTATTTTTTGACTCCCTGAAAAAACCATTGCCTTGGTATCAGTTTCAGCAGTAGCATGACTACCATGATTCAAACTATAAAATGTTAACATGTGTATATGGGAAAAAAAATATATTAAGGATGAAAATAATGTTTCTAAATTTTTTTAACAAATAAACAATGCCATAAAGGCTTTGTTACACTAACTTTAACCCTTGCAATCAGATGCTTAAATTAAAGTTTCAGTTCTTTTTTTAACAAATGATTGTTGTTTCTGTAAAGAATATAAGAATACCCCTTGAAGATGTTTCCAAGTCAATTGTAACTTTCTTCAGAGCAGTTGTAGGGGTGACTTTTTTGATTTCAGGTCTTACAGTTGGTGGAGGAATCTCTACAGGTGAATCTGAGTTTTCATTCCAACCCAAACCACTTTCATACTGGACCCCTTCTCTATTTTCTAGCTGCCTGACTTTAGAACTTCTCTTCTCTCTCTGCTCCCTTCTCTTCTTTTTGTACTCCCTGGTTTTTGACCTAACACTAAGCCTGGATCTCTTTCTGTCTAATCTTTCTGCATACACCTTGCAATGTGCACCTGGAGATAACTGAATGTCACTCAATGCCTAGAATATAACAAATGTACATGTAACACAAATTGGATACAGTTTTGCTTTACATGTATTTTATCATATATATATGTTTGGTGAAACAAACAATGCATTGGGGGTCGACTATTGTAAAAATAGATTGTGTCAAATTGTTAAAATATTATTGGTGAGGATTAACGATAAAGTTGTCAAGTGAAGCACCATATAAATTAGTGGGGGTACTCAAGTTTCAGAGAGATGTCTGGGACTAATAAGCCAAATCTATTTTTCCTAAAACTAGGTACAACAGTACCTACCTCTGGAACATAAGAATACCCAAGATTCTTTTGACTGACGGCACAAGCCACTCTGTAGTCGTTGCTCTCGCTTGCCCCATAGTGGCGGATCTTCGGAGCCTTGCTTCCTACAGAGTTGTTCAGTGACTTATTTGCCTGGCTTGAGCCAAGTGGGACAAGTTTCTCACCATTTTTGGCAAAGACCTCAACTACTGCTTCAAGGTCTTTCTGCAGCTTTGCATCTTGGAGATCTTTGCCATACGGGAGTGATTTGTGTGTGTAAGCAGCTGAGTCTTTGAGGAAGCCACACCAAGATAGGTCACAGTGTTCATGTTTCCCAAAAGCATGAGGGACAATTGCTCTTAGGTTTTTCTGAAGCCCTTGAACATTACCCTTGTTTTGGGACAATGCATAGCCAAAACATGTCAACAAGTAGATAATAACTTTAACACTGAGGATGCCTTTGTAATGCTTCTGTAGGGCATACAGAGGGGTTCCAAATGACCTTTTAGCATCCACTCTGTCCGACCACTTTCAGCATCATGTGTCACACTCTCTCTGACCTTTTTTATGGTGCTTGAGTCCTCATCCCCAACAAGTATGTTGACTTGGACAAGGTGTTGTGATGCAGACACTGTCAACTCTGCAGCAACATCTGGCTCCATAGCTTTGGAGGACCCTGTCCAGTTCTTTCGACAGTCATGTTTTCTTGGAGCACTGCCATTTCTAACAGCTGCCTCACAAACTGCACAACGCTTTGTCCTTGTACTGTACCCTAAAACTTTGCCTGTATGAAGTCCAATGAGGGAACCAACTCCTGTGACAAATGCAAAATTTTATATGACACATGTAGCTTTTTTAATGGTTAATTTAGCTTTAGGAAAAGTTCCAAGGCAGGCATTTTTGGCCAAATTCCCTTCCCAAAAATAAAAACACAAGACAGCCAGGAAACCAGATGTGGAAAAAGACCGAGTCTAGTAATCAGCTATTTCAATAATGCAAATTACAGAACTACAATGGAAAGCACTGGTACTCAGAAAATTGTTTTAGGTAACACAAACTTGAATGTTTGTCAAGAACTTTTAGTTCCTGAATGTAAGAGATTTCACTAGGCAAGTGGTAGTACGGGAAGATCACATGAAAAATGAAGTCGGAAAAAA